TAAATATGCCAGATAAAAATGGACAAAATTTTAAACAGGCACCAAATAACATAAAAGATGGAAAAGAGTAGTTCATAAAAATTTTCAGCATAATTAATTGAAAAAAATGAATGAAGAGCTGGAATGAGATGCTACTATGTACCTAATAAATAGCTGGCAAAAATAATTGAGCAAAATATCAAACAGTAGAGACAAAGATGTGGCATGGTAACTAGAGCTGTCATTCACACCGGTGGTAAGACTGTAAAATGATATAATCACTTAGGAAAATAGTTCAACAGTTTCTTTAAAACTGAAAATATAAATATACCTCTCCTTGTTCCCAGCCATTGCACCCCTCAATATTTAACCCAGACAAATGGAGCACGTGTACGTACAAAGTCATGTGATGTGGAAGTTCACAGGAGCTGTAATGGTCCAAAGCTGAAAACAACCAAATGGCCATCAATAAATGAATGGATCAATAAATTACAGCATATCCATACAATGAATTATTCGAGCTTAAATGAGTAAGCTACCGTGCACATAACATGGATGAATCCCAAAATAATTATTTCTAAAGAAACTACATAAAAAATTTATGCCATATAATTAATTTATATAAACTTCAAGCACTTGGAAACTGAGCTATAGCAACATGAAGCACACAGGGAGGATGTCGTGCATAGAACACCAATGGTGACAAAGAACCTTTTTGGGGTAGGGCTACATGCATCGTCCTTACTGTGGTGACAGTTTTTCTAGTTTTATACATTGTGGAAGTAGAATAGTTGTGTGTGGTTGTACATACCTGTAATCCCAGCATTCTGGGAGGCTGAGGCAGGAGGATCACAAGCTTGAATACTACTTTAGCAAGACTTTATCTCAAAAAATGAAGGGCCCAAGATACAGCTCAGTGAGAATGCTTTGAGTTCAATCCTCAGTACTGAAAAACAAACAAACCCTATTGCATTTAAACATGCATGTTTATTTATCAATCTATACTTCAATAAAACCATTTTGAAAAAATGAAAACGAAATCTTCTTGAGAAAAGTATGTTAGAACAATATAGGAGGAAAAAGAAGAACTGTAACTTGTAGGTGGCTAGCCATGAGGTGTTTCTACCTGTCACTCTAACATATATTTCTTTTACTTTCTTTTCATCTTTTTTCTAAGTTGCTTTTACCATTTTGATAACAACCTGGCACAGTAAGTCTGCTACAGTGGGTCTGCTACGCTTGCCTTTTTAGCATGGATTTAAGAGATCCTTGATGTTTATGCCTACTAACTGCTTAGTGCCAGTTCTGGAGATGGAACTCAGAGTCTCATACATGCTAAAGCAAGCACCCCATTTTTGAGCTACACCCCAAGCTTTGTTTTTTAGCTCTAAAACACATGATAATCAGGCTACCTTGAAGAATTCAAAAGACAACTTACAAATTTTAAAATTCTTCTTCAGTAACTTCTCACTACTGAAGGTTTTTTTTTTGTTGTTTGTTTGTTTGTTTGTTTGTTTGTTTTTGGCAGAACCAAGGATTGAACTCAGGCCCTTGCACTTGCCAGGGAAGCGCTTATTCTACTGAGCCATATCCCTGGCCCTCACTACTAAAGTTCATCAGCGTAGATAATATATGCATGCTTCAAGGATCTACCAGGCTCAAGATTCACACTCAAGAGGAAAAAAAGAGGCATTGACATACTTGTACCCAAGAAAGGCTTGCAGGCTGCTCGTAGGAGCAAGGAGATGCTCCCACTTGTCAAAAGGTGAAGATTAAAGAGAAACATTCTCATGGACTGCTGATGAGAAATTTGGTCATCAAAACCTTGAAACTATTTGCAAAGGCCTTGTTTAGTTTCCTATTGCTACTATAACAAATTGGCACAGGCTTACTGACATAACAAAAACTCAGCATCCTAAAGTTCGGAAGGCAGCCACCCCCAGATCTGTCACTCGGCTCAAGTCAGGTATCAGAAGAGCTGGCACCTTTGGAGACTTAGAACATCCTTTTTCTTGACTCTTTTTAGTTTCTCGAGGCTTCTGGTATTTCTCGCCCTTTGACTCCTTCCTCCCACCATGCCAACTGCCCTATCCACACCTCCCATCACTGGACTCCCTTATAAAGCCATCTCCATTCCACTGCATCCACCTGGGTAATAAAGGCTACTGTTCCCCATCTCCAACCCTTTAAATTAATCCCATCAGCAGAGTTTATTTAAACTACAGTATGTTAACATATTCACAAGCTCTAGGGATTAGACCTGGGTATTTTGGAGGAACCATTACTTAGCCAACCAAAGTTTTAGACCCAGAAGTTCTGCTTTTAAGACTTAACTCTAGAGGTAGAGTGTGTTGGGAAGCAACCGTAAGGATATTCAAGTGAAGAGACCAGCCACTGACTTGATCCTGGAAGAAATTTCCAGTGTCCTTAAAATCTATAGTATTTGTTCTTTATCTGGTCCATTCTAATTATGGATCATTACATTAGTAGCTAAAATGTTAGTAATATTCATACCAGAACTGAATATATTTTGGGATTTAGATAGGAGCAGTTTTTTTCGTTGTTGTTGTTTGTTTTGTTTTGTATTTTAGGGAAGGGTCTACAGGGTGCTCAGGGTCTCACTACTAGATCAGACTCATAGTGATCCACCTGTTTAGAGCCTCCCAGGAGCTGGGATTACAGGCACATGCCACCGGGTCCAGTCTCAGCGCACAGGGCGGGGGCGGCACGGCAGGCCCAGGGATCAAACCCCCGGCCCTTGCACCTGCTTGCAGGTGCTTTGTAGCACTGAATTTCAGAGCAAATCACATCAATAAAATACAGTATTTGCATATTACGATGTGGGACTTTTCAATACATGTTCCTGGAATTCAGAGACCTCTGAGTAACACATCAATCATGAGGAAGACATCTGTGATGTGTATGCCTTCTATTTATACTCCCCTTCCTCCTTCTTCCTGTACTCATTTGAACGACACTCCCTTCCTAACACACCGCCTTTCTGTTCCTTAACTTGCTCACTTTCATCCACCTTGCTCAAGTTGGTCCAGCTGTGCTAACTTGGTCACATCTGATAGCTGTTGTCATTTAAGACTGAGGTTTCCCTTTGACCCCAGGCTCCTGCTACCAGTAAACCTCCGCCCTATTTCCTTGCTCCGGGCTTGGCTCTGTACCTAAGGTACTTCTGGTTCCTGACCCTCGTTCAGCATGAAGAACACAGTACCACCAGTCCAAAGAGTTTGATATTTAGCATCCAGTTCAGACCTGTCTTGACCAAATGCATGATTACAAGGTTTAAAATGGAAATGGAAAACTCAAGTCAAGGTGTGGTTTCTTTTCTTTTGTTCTGTTTTTCTATGAAATGCATACAAAGCTTGCTCCCAGTCTACTTCAGCTACTTCTGTAACCTTACTTTTCTTCCCCCTACAGTGCTAGGAGTTGAAGCAGAGCTTTATGCATGCTGGGCAAGCATTCTACCACTGAACCTCAGCTCCTGAATTCCTGTTTTGAATTTTAAGCTTTAATCCTTTGGTTTGTTGGATTTCATCAAATAGGTCTTTTCAGGTGGATCAACAATGCTATATTCTTCAAGTTTTCCTGTTTGTTTTTCTTTTCTTTCCTCTTGAATTTTTATTCTTTTTGTTTTGTTTTGTTTTGTTTTCCATACTACGGATGAAAACGAGGGCTTATTGGGCAACTGCTCCACCTGCTCACCCTAACTCTTACGTATAGATTTTTTATAATTTTGAGACAGAGTTTAGTTTCCTAGGCTGGCCATGAACTTGCAATTCTCTTGGCTGGCTGGCTCCTTCAGTCTTTTACTTCTATCATCTTAATTTTTGTCCCAAATTGTTAGATTTCTGGAATTCCATCTTTTCCTAGCTACCTTCTTGCCAGTGCCCTGCAAAATTCAGTTCCACTCTGGAGGGCCTGGATTCTGGGCTGCTGTACAGACATGAGACTGAGACTTAAATTTATTTTTTCCTGGGTTAGACCCTGTCTTAGTCATGTTCTTGTTGCTGAAACAAAAAAAGCCTGTCCCTGCCCCCCCGCCCAGTTAAAGGAGGAAAAGTTTCTTTTCCTTTCTTCTTTTTTTTTTAATTTTTGCAGAACTAGGGATTGAATTTAGGCCCTTGCGCTTGCCAGGGAAGCACTTATTCCACTGAGCTATCTCTCTAGCTTCCCCCTCTTTTTTTTTTTTTTTTTTTTTTTACTTTTCCAGTATCGGGGATTGAACTCAGGACCCTGTGCTTGTCTGTGCTTGCCAGGCAAGTGCATATGCCACTGAGCTATCCCCCCAGCTGGAAAAGTTTCTTTTAGCTGCCAGTTGTCAGAGGTTTCAGTCCATAGTCAGTGGGCTATAAGGCAGGGTGGTGTGGTGGAGGGGCAGGGCAGAGGGGAAACGATTTGTGGCTGGATGAGCGGGAGGCAGTGAAGCAGCCTTCCTTCTGTTTGTTCTTTTTTTGTTTTTTTTCTGTTTGTTCTTTTATCCTACCTAGTCTATAAGCCCTTTGGAAGGCACCATCCACATGCAGGGTGGGTCTTCCCATTACCCATAATGCCAATCAGTGGACTAAGCCAGTAACACACCCTTAACTCATATTCACACATGATTGATCCAGTCATCTCCAAAACCTCCAGCAGTGAGCACCCAAGGCGTTGGCCAGACATCTAGATACAAGCCATAGCCGATTCAGTATTTCTAGAATCTCCATGCACCTAGCTTTCTTTTGTTTGTTCCTGCTGTGTGCAAGCTTATTAGTCTCTGATTTTGATAGAACTCATCTTGCCATAACTTCCTAGAATAGAATATACAAGTGATACCGTGTAGTTTGAGTCCCTTTCTGCCACAAAATGTCTTCACTCTCCTTTTGGATGAACATAGGGTTGTATAAAGCTAAATTCTTTTCCTTTAAGGGATTGCTCTGTTGTTGAAAGGCAATCATCGGTCCCACCTTCGGTAAAGGAAGTAAAGAAGTGGTAAAATGCCGACTGTGACCGCGGCGACAGCAGTGACCCAGTGAGGTGAAAGTAGCGGGAGGTGGCGGCTGGTCATTTACCTTCTGGGCTCCGGCTGGAGTTGGATGTTTAGAGTTATTTGGAGTCAACACTTTGATTCCACCCACGGGTTTGTCAACATCTACTCCCAGTGTTGCAGTTCAGAACGCAAATGCTTCAGATCGTCAGACAGCATCACCGCCTTCAGAATGCCTGATGCATGCAAGGAAAAGTCAAGGCTGTCCATTAAGTGAGAAACCATCTGGTCCACCTAGTGATAGCAAAACTTACTCGGTACCTGCCCACCAAGATCGAGCATACGAGTATGTGGAGTGCCCCATTACTGGTGCCAGAGTGAATAAGGAGAACCTGGATCCTTCAAATCTGATGCCACCACCTAATCAAACACCAGCCCCAGATCAGCCATTTCCTTTGTCTACAGTTAGAGAAGAATCATCCATTCCAAGAGCAGATTCTGAGAAAAAATGGGTTTATCCTTCAGAACAGATGTTCTGCAATGCAATGTTAAGGAAAGGGTGGAAGTGGAAGGATGAGGATATTAGCCAGAAAGATATGTGTAATATCATTAAGATTCA